TGGGGAAGTCCAGTCAGGAGGCATCGGTACGTGGCTGGTGTCTGGTCGCGGGAAGGAGGCGGTCACCCGGGACACTGGTGCGCACTGAAGGCGGAGTGGGGAGCCTGCCGCCTGCGAGTGCGCACACGGCGGTCCAGGCACTGCCGGGGGGCCTGCGGGACGGGGCCGGGAGGCATGCAGGCACGTGTACAGAGTGAATGGAAGGGATACAGGCAAGTCCGCGTTGTCTTGGAGATAAGGGCCCTGGGCTCCTTTACTGGAACTCGGGTTTCGTGCTATGGAAGCTACAGAAGGGGCCGGGTGCTGCCTCGTTTTCCCAGCTACTATGTTCTTAGGGCAGAAAAATTAAGAAAAACAGATACACAGAGAGAGAACCCCCAAACTCACATACCCCACCATCCAGAGAGGGTTAATAAATGTTAGCATTTATTCAATATTTGCTCGCATGTCTCCTCCTCAGGAAAACCCTCACTGACCACCGTCCTGCCTGCGGGAGACCCCACCACTGTCCCCCTGGCCTCCTGGTCTCCCCGTCCTCGGCAGCACCTGCTCCGCACCCCTTCCTGCTCTGCCTGTAAGTTGTCTGGGCCCCGGAATGTCAACAGGGACCTTCTCGCTCTCCTTCACCCCCAAGCCCCATGCCCTTTGCCCCACGCCTGGTCCATCGGAAACCCTTTGTACACATTGTTGAATGAAAGACCTCATGTTTGGTACATAAACTTCCAGACCTTTTCCCTGGGTAATCACCCCCTCGAGGATGTATCTTTAACCTAAGTGGTCAGCATTTGAGGCCTAAGCTGCTGCTGTGCAACTGTCTGCGCTCAGGGGTGCTGGGTGTAGTTGCCAGCCTCTTTCCAGCCTCTCTGAGCAGCTCCTGAGCTGGGCGGTGGTGGGCGCACCCCAGCTCTCCCAGGCCGCACTTCCGCGCACCCTCCGTCCCCCTGCCTCGCTGCCTCTGGGACCTTGTCTCATCTTTCCTGCTATGCAGAGAGCTCCTGGGCTGCGGGCCCGGTCTTATCACTCACTTATCTCACTCCCTTCCCCCATCTCTTAACAAGGTTTCTGACACTCAGAGAGTAAATGTTCTTAGAATATTGGGGCAAATGTATATAAAATGATAAAAACATAATTGTTGTGACTTAATATCATTTTACTGAGTTTATCAAAAATAATTACATGTTTTATTGAAAATGCATACAAATTTGGGACACAGGCTATTTCTTGAGCCAGCCAAACTGACAGATGTTTAATTAAGGATAGGCTCTTTTTGCATCTGTGTATTTGTGCACACATGTGTAAGGTGTGTGCCTGTATGTGTGAGTGTGTGTGTGTGTTTAGTATTATCTTTGAAGTTAAGTTAGTAACCAAGGCATTTTCTTCAGGGTTTCTCAGATAATATTTACCATGCATGGTAATTGGGAATTTTATCATACATGGACATGTCATTAATTTTTCTTCTTTGTCATCTGGTAACTGGAAGTGTGTATTAGGCAGGTGACATCATGGAAAATATACAAGAGGCTTAACATGGCTGGTTTTTGTTTTGTGTTCCTGGAGTTTTCATTGGCACAGCTAAGGCATGCGTGCTCAAGGTCCTGCTTGCTCAAGTGGTGTCTGCCCTGTGGGGTGGGTCACGGCCAGAGGGATGGAAGGAGCTGTACGAGGGACGAGCAAGAGCCAGCGTTTGCCGAGTGCCTCGTGTATACAGTCACTCACATATGTGGATCGTGGAAATTCCCCCTGACTTCCCCATGCAGTAGGTCATCCATGTTTATCCCCATTTTAGAGATCTGAAGAATGAGGCTTAGAAGTTAAAGCTTGCGCCTGTCACAGCTAGTTCAAACCCTGGTCTTTCTCTCGTTCCATTTAAGGGAAACTTTTGCTATTCACTTTGTTTGGTTTTAGCTCATTAGTTTCAGATTGTTGCTTGATAAGTGGGTTCCCTGCTCATTTTTCCAAATTACTGGATTGTCCTTCATGCATGTGAGCTTTTTAAAAAAACAAACTACTGTCAAGTTAGACTCAGTTGTCAGTTTGTCACGCCTGTTCCAAACCGGCCCTGCGTCCTTCTCTAGAGCACCCTGCTTTGGTTCCAGCTCGGATGTGTGAGTGACGTGGGGCAGTGCCTTGAGAGTGGCTCTGCAGCCGAGTGCAGAGATACCTACGAAATGCTGGAAAGCCAAATCCTTTTGTGGTTGGCATGGCTTTTTTTAACTTCAAAGGCATATATTCGCAGCAGTGCTCGACAAGTATTTGAGCAGTTCATTTCCTGACAGAGCTCTGGTGGGGGGATGTCTAGCCAGCGGTTTCCAGCCTTCTCAGTGGCCCCTTATCAGGTTGTGCTTTTCATTGCTGGTAGGTGGGTTGGGCAGAAGTCACTCTTCTTGTAGCGTAATGGGTGACTCAGGCTGGCGCCCTGCCCTTTGTAAATTCTGCTCTCTCCTTAAAGCCACCTCCGCTTCCCAGTGCATGCCTCCGGGCCCCGAGTGTCCCTGCGCTGTGCTGGTGTATACCCCAGCCCCTTCTCCCTGCTGTGCAAGTTCCTCTACCCGGAATGCCCTTTCCTTCTTCTCCAGCTGATGATTCTCGCTGGGATGCCAGCCCTGTACACCCCTTGTGGGTCCCCCTGTGTGACCCCATAGCGTTTGTGCAGAATCCTCTCCAAGTACTTGGCACAGTGCTGGAGGAGTTTATCTAAGAGCCTCGCAGCCCATGAAGAGGGGAGCCCCTCAGTGCCCGCACCTGGCTTACTGGGTGAGGCCGGCCCATAGGCACTGCCACTCTGGCAGCCACAGGTTCTCAAAGGCCCTGACACTGGCACTGTGCCACGTGCCAGGCAGGTGCCATTTGATGCTCATAACCTCCAAGGCAGATTGGATTCCATTTTACAGATAGGCAGTGTCAATCACAGACCTCTAAAGTATTTTACTGGAGGTGACTGGCCCATTCAGGGTCAGGCCAGTCTGTCTCATAGTGCGGATTTCAGAGACTGTACGTTCATGCACCAGGCATGTCGTGACCTTGGTGGTGTTCCTTCCTGCTGCCTCTAGTTTTCAGGTAAGTGACCTCCGCCCTTCAGCCAGGGCTTGCAGCCCCTCTTGGTGTGCTCAATTGGCCCGTGAGGGGAGGGGCCTCAGCCGTGCTGCTGCAGGGAACTGCCCACCACGGCCCTTTGTGGTACAGGAGGTCCTGCCTCTAGAAGGGGCTCCTCGCAGTGGAGGGCTTGGAAGGAGCTGAGGGCTGACCTGAGGACACTCTGACTCAGGAGTGTCGTTAATAGTGCCCTTTGTGGGGTCTTCGGGGCCTGCTGCAGTAGCCCTCAGAGTTGGCCTCAAACTGCCTGAGTCAAGCATCTCTCCCCTCTTTCCCTGGCATGTCTGCCTTTATTGAATGGCCCCATTTTCTTGCCTGAACAAAAGACAACCTCCTGACCCATTCTGTATTTTTTCCTTCTACTTTTGCCAGAAGAATCTGTCTCATCTTGGCCTTTGTGACCTTTCTTTATGGCTTAAGTGTAGTCTGTTGGCTGGGAAAACTTGCAGCCCAAGGAAGAAGTATCCCAGTGGCAAGTGATTCCAACTGAGAGAAGGAAATCTTCGGGGAGTGTTTGATGTCCCCTGATGGCTGGCGTGGCGGCACTCCTCAAAGACTGCCCCCCAGGGGGAGCGGCACTGCAGAGTCTTAGGGAGTCAAGATGAGAAGCAGGTGCTCGACTCCACCGCCCAGGTCCCTGCAGCTTGGTCATACACATCTCTGGTGTCTGTGGCCACCTGCCGCTTGGTAGGTATGGCGGTCAGGCTGCAGGAACATGCTGGCTGAAGTGAATGGGGGGTAGTGGTGATGAGCTGATGCATCCTCATGTGCCAGACCCTGACCACCAGCTGGACATGAGAGAGGGCTGGCGAATTTCCAGGAGGGGCATGTGAGCAGCATAATGCTGCTGTGTGAGGGTGCTCTGAGCTGATGTGGGAGCAACACCGCTTCAGTCTTTGGCAGGCTGCTGCATGTGTGACTGGGGCTCCTTGCTTGGTTGACTGGTGGCCAGTCGAGGAGCACTTGTTCCTTAGAACCGTGAAATGAGTCTTTGTTGAACGGGGCTGCCTGGCAGGAAGTGTAGAATGCTCACACCCATGGGGCAGAGGAAGCCCCATCTGGTGAGGGTGTTTAGTCATGGCTAATAGATACTTATCCAGATTTTGGTGACCATAGGTCATAACCCTTTTCCATATTTAGAATGTTAGAAAACCAGACTGCAAAGACCCTTGTATCCGGCCCTCCCCCTCAGGGTCGAGGAGGGGCGCGGCGTGTCAGCAGGCGGAGTGGGACAGGTCGCAAATGACTGCAGCCGTTACTCGGTGGCTCAGCCTTTGTTTGGCCGCACACCAAGCGGGGCCTACTGCAGACTTGCCGGGAGTTCTAGGGGCTGCGTGTGGGATGGCCTGGGGTGTGGTGGGCACCCTGCATTGCTGCTGTCACCCGGTCAGGAGCCAGGAGGACCCCGTGGTGTGTGCTCAGCTCTGGGGCAGAGTGCCCCCTGCCCCACTGTTGGCCCTTAGACTGTGCTGGACTTGGGGCACCCTGGGTTACGTTAGCTGCACTACATTGTGCTCACACTCAGTTTATATTGTATCGTTCATATTTTATATCACAAAACTCATTGAAAGGAGTTTTGTAATTTTGCTTTTTTTTTTGATCTTTAAAGATTTGTTTTGTTGTACCAAAACACATTCAAAATGTGTCCTTATATTTAAAATATACATATCTTATTTAAATGTGATCCTCTTATATATAGCCAATTGCATAAATTGGGCCTCCTGGTAAACTTGCTACTACTAGTAAAATTATGGAGGTAGAAGTTTTAAACATGAAAGATGAAGAAGTAAACAAAAAAGCATGAATATGAACCTTAAGAATTCAAAGCAAATTTTAGGACTCATTCCAATTGAGCCTAAATGCAATATAATTTGTATAATTGTACTGTTTTATTACAGTGTCATTGTATATCCTGTAATAAATTAGAGGAATACTATCCACTTACCAACAACGTACACGCAACCATGGAGCTCACTAACTCCATTGCCTGCTCTTCGTTGACCCGTTTCTTTAACCTCTATCCACTTATCCAGATGTGGATAATACCTCTCCACACTAGACAAAGAAGCTACTCCATCATTGCCACCTACTGCTTAAACATGGTTCGCTAGGGCCACAGAGCCAACTCCTCCACGGAGAGCACTCATTGGCGCCACTGTACTCCACTGATATCAGATTCTATGTCGTATCTCTCCACATCATTGAAGCAAGTGTTGCCATCTAACCCTCCAATTGCATAAATTGGGCCTCCTAAGGAGGCCAAGGCAATTCCTCGCCTGTTCATGTTCATTGATGCCTTCATCATCCATTTATTAGTGAGAGGATCAAACATCTCCATGCTACCTAAATGTTCATTTCCATCATGTCCACCCACCGCATACACTTTGCCTTCCACAGAGATGACACCCACATGTTGCCTTCGACTATTCATTTCTGGTCCAAAAAACCAACTGTTTTGTTGATGGAATAGCATTCAATACTGCAAAAGGGGTCACCAGATCCACCTCGACCACCTACACAAAACAGCACACCAGCAGTATGCTTCCTTGGGGTCATCCGAATGGAGTATTCAGAGTCAGGTACTGCTCTGCTACTCAAGTGAAGGTGGTAATTTCTTGCTTCATCCAATGAATCTCTACATTTTAGATTTTGCTTGACAGTTTGTTCTTTTGCCACAACACCCATAAGAAAATCAACTGGCAACAGCAGCAAGCGGACCTGTGCAAGTGTTTCATCCAACCACTTGGAATGATGCTGAGGATGGGCAAGAAGCCACTTGATGGCTGCACTATAGACCTGCTTTTCATTCTCAATATTTAGATCACTGGAGGACAAAAGCTTATGGAGATGCTGGGGTGACATACTTACAAAGTCTTCACACTCCACTACTTCAGTAAAATGCTCACAGGCATACCGATCTGCCATGTCCATTAGATCTATTCGATTGTGACTTTCAGCAAACGCCCTTACTGCCAGGCAATTGGAAGGATGAAAATGTAGCTTCATGTATTCACAGCAAGCCTTAGCCACCAGTTCAACCTGTAGAATACAGGCTGCGTACAAGAGAGGCTGGACATTGTCAACAGTCAAAGTGAGCCGTGGAGAGTAGACAAACTTCACCAAACCTTCTATTGCTTCCCCATCAAAATCTCTGATCTCAATCAGCGTGTGCTTGGCTTCAGCCATTTCAGAGAGAAACATGGCTTTGAAGTAGGGAATAACACAAGCCAAAACAAGTTTGTGACAAGAGATTAGCTTTGAGCCAACCTTTAGTGTGATATCACAGAGCTCTCCATTTTCATAAAACTGAGGAAGAGAACCATGAACATCTTTCCAGGCTTCATTTGCTTCAAAGATAAAGGAGTCTTCCACATCACCATCACAGACCGGAGACCTGGTCTTTGCTTGCTGGTACTGAGGCCTTTTCCCCTTTGTGAAGTGCTTCCTAGCTTGTTTTGCATTCATAGGTTCTGAAGCCATTTGCACTCTTCTTTCAGTGTAGCTCTCTTTCAAACATTCCCTTTACTCTTTTTTAAGGGTGGTGAGAAGGCAGATGGTAGAAGCAGACCACTAAATTTCAGGTATTTTTCAAAACCCACTCAACTGCCATTGTCTGGTTTGTTGAGACTGGAGAGACTGAGATTCTAGCCACTTGTGGAAAGCAGGGATCCACATCCGGCTATGTGCTCAGCCCACTGGTTCTGGCAGTGTAGACAGGCAGAGCAGCCAGGAAGCAGGAAACAGCTCTTTCCTCCCCTCAGGCACCAATACAGCTGCTCCTCTGCGACCCCCGACATTGCTACAGGGGCCAAGCAGCTCCAGAGAGTAGAGCTTCTGGGCCCTCGGCCCTCCGCTCAGCCCCTTCCGGCTTGGCTGCAACGGCTCCCGCAGCGCGAGCAGCGCCGCAGGAGCCCTGCGCAGCCCCACTGGGTGCCTTCTGGCCCCAGCCCCCGAGAGCCGCGGCTTCGGACAGACGGCTGTAATTTTGCTTTTGAAACTGTTTGAGAAATTAATCCCTCCTCCCCTCATCCATTTGTGTATTTGTTCAGTGGGAACAGCACGTGAAGACAGGAAGGCGAGAGGGGTGTGGGGCTGTGTGCTGCTGCTACCTGCGTGGGGCGAGTACGGTGTGACTGGAACACGGTGCAGATGGGGCAGCCAGAGGGGCCAGTGGGGCGAGCCGGGAGGCCCTCCTGGCCATGATAAGACATCTTGGGGGATTCCAAGCTGAAGCGTAGTGTGATCTTACCAAAGACATGCCAGCTAACATGGTAGCATCATGGGGAAAGAAAGGAGTGGGGCCAGATCGCAATCAAGGCAAAAGATGGTGATGACCTCAACACAGGGAGCTGCTGCGGGGTGGGCCCAGCAGGCGGGTTCGGGAGGCTCTGCAGTAGTGCTGTTAGGGCGCGGGGACTGTTAGCTGGGGTGGGGCTGGGTGTGGGAAGGAAGGGACTCCTGGCTTGAGCTGCTGGATGAATGGGGGGACCATTTCCTGATGTGGGAACCCCAGGGACAGGAGTGGGCTCAGGGAACGTAGAAATGGTTTGCAGGACCATGTGATGGCCGAGTGGAGGGGTCCAATGGGTAGGCAGATGTAGGGGTCTGAGGTTTTGGGCCAGAGATACAGTTCAGGGGTCATGAAGTTGAAGGTGGTTTGATGTGTGGAAGCAGAAGGCCTTGCTTAGGTGGAGCATGTGGCTAGAGAATAGGGCCCGGGACAGAGCCCTGAGGAACTCCAGCACCCAAGGCTTGGGCAGAGGAGGAGGAGAGAAGTCAGGAGGGGCAGGGTGGTGGACGGCGGGTGTGATTGTAGGAGGGGACTGCAGGAGGTGCAGTGATGAGACCAGAAAGGGCCAGGTGGTTGTGCCCTGGGGAGCCCAGAAGCGCCTGCAGCCTGACACCACAAAGGTCCTGGGCTTCCTGTGTCATCAGCTTCATTAGGGAGGTGGGAGAGAAAGCCGAGGCTGTGAGATGAATGGGTGGGGTGAGGACTGGAGAACTCGAGAGTGGGTGGCTCTGGTGGGAGCTTGGCTGGGTGGGGGTTGGTGGGTAGACTGGGGTCCTTGGCCATGGGAGGAGGTGGGAGTTAGGGCCAGCCCTAGACAGTGCATGGAGAGGCCAGCCTGTACATGCTGACACCCTTGAGTGGTGGCAGGAAGGGAAGGGGTTCTGATGTCTCACTCGTCCATGTTCCATGGGAAGGAAGGGAGATGGCCAGGGAGGAGGTCTGCAGGGACCTTGTGCAGAGCTGGGGATAGATGCTGGGGGACAGCGCAGAGGGAAGGACCCTCTAGGAGGTGGGAGTTTGCTCCAGCACCCATCAAACTGCTTGTAACTGGGGAGGAGGGAGGCTGGCACTGTGGTAGGTAGAGGGTGGAGTTTTCAGCAGGCAGGTGGAGGGAGAATTAGAGTCTGGGAGCTGACATTGTTAATGCCAGTGGTGCCCTGAGGGTAAGCAGTGTAAAGACAGGTGGCACCTGCCAGCCCAGCCCAGCCCAGGGCAGAGGACAGGGAGGAGGCACAGTAGGGTTTAAGGCGACAGGGATGAGAAATGAGGAGGGTGTGTCTGATGACAGACAACTCAGTATTACTGCTCTGAATTTCTGGTGAATTTTTTCCGTCAGTGTGAATATTAGTCCAAAGGAAGAACATGATTTTTATAGTTACAGAAGGAGGTCCTACGATTACAAGTAGGAATCATTCCAAAGTAAATGCTGGCGAGGTCTGAGAAATCGTCCCAGAGTCAGAATGGTGATACTCTGACTGTGTGTCCCAACTCTGCTGGGCACGTTGGCGTCTGCCAGACAAGTGAGGCGGTTAAGAGACCTCCTCGGGCCTGACCCTGCCTCTCCCTCTGCCCAGCTGGCAGGTGACACTTCGGGGCCATCACTTACTGAAGATTTCTTCCTAGTGTTGGAGAGGTCAGATTTCTTGGCATGAAGTAATGACCATTTCCTTGAAATACGAATCCAGCTTTGTTATGTGAAGGAAGAATACTATTTCTCTCTCCCTGATTCACATACATGGATCTTAAAATGTACACACTGAAGTGGTGTCACAGAAATAAGGAGCTCAGCTTCATCACCTATAGGCAGGCTCCCCCTGCCGCCCGCAAATGGGTTACTAGTTGGTTCAGACACTCAGTCACTTAGCAAACATTTGAGCGCTCCCTCACCCTAAGCACTGGAGATGCAGAGAGGAATTACCCAGTCCTTGCCCCTGAGGTTGTGGGTGATGAGTATCTGTGCACTGCTTTATGCTGCTTGTTTCACTTATACCCGGTTTTGAGTGTGGAACAGTTCGCCTTCTTGTCCCTTGTAATGGGCTGTGTGGTGTCCACTCTCTCAGTTTTCCATTGTTTTCCCAGTTTGTGAGAATCTGACATGTCTCTAGCTTTGCTGTTAACAAATATTACTGGAATGAACATTTTGTTCAAGCCATTCTTTTCTTTGAATTTATTTGCTTGGGTCATATTCCCCAGAGTGGGACCTCAGGGTCAGAGGTTGGTAACTGTTATCTGTCTTGTTCCGTATTTCCAGATTTTTCCATGAAGCTAATCAGCAATGTTAGAGTACATTCCTGTTTTCCTATAGCCCCACCAAAACTGGTGTTGTCATTTTAATTTTTCTTTTTGCAAGTTATTCCATTTCTTAAGGAAATTGTGCTTTTTCCATTGTCAGATTTGTCTCAGTTATGCTGCAGTAACAAGCGAACCCTAAATCCCAGAGGCTAACATAAAAAAATGTCCTTGTTTGTTCTGCATGTCCCTGTGGGGTGCTGGAGGTGCAGCTCCACCCGTTCCCTCCGGGGCCAGGCTCATTCAGAGACTCCTGCCTCCTCTGGCTGTAGCTCCTCCTCAGTGGGAGACGGGCAGGCAGGAGGGGGCGGGCCCTCGGCACCGGCTTCCCATGAGTTCCGGCCTCGCACACCGACCGCCTGTGCCCGGCTGCCTTGTCTCCTGCGGGCTCATCTATGACAGCTTCCTGGTGCAGTGGTATTGGAGCCTCAGCCTTTGCGTCAGTCCTTAATGCATTGTCGGTAGTAAGATGTGTATCAGTTGAAAGAAAAAAAATCTGTTTTACTTTCTTTGCTTTCCATATTACCTTTTATTCTGCAGAGGTTTAAAAAGGTTGAAGTTTTGGGCATATGCATCTTCTTCTCTTATTTATTTAACACAAATCTCATTTTCCTAAAGCCAGAGACTAAGCTGTTTCCTTTGAGTTGCTTAAAATAGGTTTTTTTATTTGGTTCCATATGATGTTTCAAACTCATCCAAGTATATAATGCCAGGGGTTTTAATCTAAGTTAACTTTGGTCCCTAATGATACCTGTTTGTTCTTTAACATTAAAAAACCCAAGCACAACAATGCAACATGCCTGTGTGATAAGAACACTCACCAAAGTAGGAACAAGGGGAACATCCTTGACCTAGTGAAGGGTGTGAATGAAAACCCACCGGGCTGGGAAGTGACAGACGGAGAGGATGGGGTGCCACTGGTGCTCATGGCAGCAGCCAAGTCAGGCGAGGAAGAGAAATGAGAGGTACACAGATTGAAAGGGAAAAGTAAGACTATCTCTGTTCACAGATGATGTGATCTGGTATGTAGGAAATCCTAAGGAACCTGCTAAAAATCTGTCAGAACTAACATACATCTTCAGCAAGATTCAGGATACAAGATCGATATACAGAAACAATGGTAGTTCTGTACACTAGCAATAGATAAGTCAAGAATGAAATTAAGAAAACAAGTCCATGTATAGTAGCATCAAAAAGAATAAAATATTTAGGAATACATTTAACAAAAGAAGTATAAGACTTGTCCCTGAAAACGCCGAAACATTGTTGAAAGAAACTAAAGGTAACCTAAATAAATGGAAAGATATCCCACATCCATGGATTGGAAGACTTAATATTGTTAAGGAGCTGTTACTCTACACAGTCAATGCAGTCCCTATCAAAATTCCAGCTGCCCTTTTTTTTTTTTTTTTTGTAGAAGTCAAGAAGCTGATTCTAGAATTCATGTGGAGATGCAAGGTACCTAGAACAGTAAAAACAATTTTGAAAAAGCAGAACAGTGTTGACGCACTCACACTTCCCAATTTCAAGAATTTCTTTAAATCTATGGTATTTAAGACAGTGTGATGCTGACAAATAGGAAAGACACAGAGATCAATGGGATAGGAGAGATCAAGAACAGAACAAGCCCTTACATTCATGGTCACTTGATGGTAGGGTTTCTTTTCTTCTTATGGCTGAATAATATTCCATTGTGTGTATGTACCACATCTTCTTTATCCATTCATCTACTGGTGGACACTTAGGTTGCTTCCATTTCTTGGCTATTGTGAATAGTACTGCTATAAACATAGGGGTGCATATGTCTTTTTCAAATTGGGCTGCTGCATTCTTAGGGTAAATTCCTAGAAGTGGAATTCCTGGGTCAAATGGTATGTCTATTTTGAGTTTTTTGAGGAAC